GGAATTTTGTGATGTGAGCAACCCACAGCTCTGTAGACAATGAACTGCTTTTCTAGGACAGAACAGCTGCACAATGCTACCCTGAGGTTTACTTTCTTAGTGCACAGCTGCCAGCTAACACAGCAGCATGAGGTTGCTAACCCAGTGCTTGACCCACTGCAGCTGTGTCTGCTACTTCAGTGATGATCTGAAAAAGGCTTGCACAGGCAGGACCAAAGAAAGAAAAAAAAATGGAATAGACCGGCCCATGAGACCACCTCCTGACAGTGACCCAAAACACTCCATCTCCAACCATAAAATTTCTCATTACCCTATTGTCAACGAGCAATATGCAAGCTGATAGCCTTCAAAGCATTATTTTGAGGTGTAACACAACTATTATTTCAAGAACCTGTATCTATTTAATTTTTTTCTTACACAAAGACAGAACTTCCAAAGAACCTCAAGTATCTCTTTGCAAGACATTTTATAGTTAATAATTGATATTAGGAAGAAGCATTGATGTATCCAGGGCAACTGCTTTTAAAGCAGATGTGTATAGGTTTCTTCCCCTCATACTAGTACATTAAAAACAACAATAACAAACACAAGTAAAAAAATTAAATCCTTTTATCCTTACCTGTAGGTTGTGGATTGCCTTTTTTTTTTGTGCGCGTGTATAGATGTGAAATGTCTAATTTCAGGTACTGCTTAAGGTTTACAGGAAGGTATGCAAAAGAAAATTTCAGTCTAAAATTGTGGGGTTTTTTAAACGTATGCCAAGATTCCACCAGACATAGTTTGAGAAGTATTTTGAGTTTTTATAATCACAGTGTTAGAACATAATAATGCTTGCATTTTGCAAGAGACAAACTATGAAAACCTTAAGTACCTAAGAGACCTTAATGCCATGTAGACACTTTGGCACTGTAGACAGAAAAAACTTCTTGAGAAAGTAGGAAAAGTGGCTTGTCACAACAATAGTAAGAGGAAATAAAGGCAGCTGTACGACACACAACAGGAGACAAGGCAGGAAATGAGTATAAGAAGCGAGGGCATGCATTTCTACCCTCTGGATGACAGGGAAACACTAAAAGGCGACAGGATGGAACATTTAAGGTAGCAGCAAGATTTGAAAGTTTTCTCCTTGCACTCTTTGTTTATTGACTGAATTCAGATTCTGAGACACACAGAAATAGAGATGGCAAATCACACTTGCACTATAAGGCTTAAATCTTCAGTAGAAAAGAGTAAGAACATAGGGTTTGGAAGCAATCTTGCCCTGCAGGTTAGGTACAGATGCCACTTACAGTGTCTGTCCTATTTCTCTCCCCAAATGTTGCCTCTGAGCTTACAGAAATGACCTTTTCTAAGACTGGCCAGAAGTTTATCTTCAGCTATTTTATCTTTTTGTGCAAGAAACAATCCTGCAAGCAATTCCATGAAAGAGAAAACTTTTTGATTATCTTTGAACCTTTTTCCTTTGTAAATACAAACACAAGACCTAGAAATCTGGTTTCAGATAAGACTGAATTCTGCTATCCTTTCGCATATTATAGGAGTCCGGAGCTCTGTATTTAGTCAAAAAGATGCATTGGAAACAAACATTTTGCAATCTCTGCGCTATTTACCAGATTTTTAAGGTAGTTTTCTGAAAGAGAGACAGAAGTTATTCCTCTGAAGGAGCTGGAAATCCACTAGGTCCTGGAAAGCTCTGAACAGTCTGCTTGTCTTCAGCCCAAACATGTCATGATCCATTACAATGGGCAAAGCAACTGCATTAACACAGAGAATTGCTGTGTGGTTGCGTATCGGGCCCAGGGGAGACTACAGAACCTGCTAAACAATTCCAGGACAAAACCATGTACAAAGATTGTTATATTAACCTACAGGAGAACCTCAGTGAATCAAAAATGCCTGAAAGTTTTTTGCAAGTAACACACCTTGTGCACATGTAAAGTAAAAAACCTTAAAGTAAGAACTGGCCAGAGTTACCTTTTTCCTTAAGACATGTTATGTGTTATCTTAAAGGAACAAACTGCATACTATTACTCTCCTTACTGAAATGTCTAGAATAGCAGTCAGACCTGTTTAAAAGTTTTTCTGATAAAGTCTTTTTTCTTCTTCTGTTAAGTTTCAAGAGACCTTCTGGACTAAAAGCAACATGTTTCATTGTCCTTTGCAGCCATCAGAACAGCCACACAAGCCTTTAATCTCAAATTGTTTCTACTAATAATACCAGATGCAGTTAATATTATATTACAAAAAGTCACTATTTCTCTCATTTCATTTTATCCAAAGTACAGCTTTTTGTTGCATGTTATCAGAGGTAAGTTCAAATGTAACCCAGCCGGGGGCTCTCCAAGAGAGCACACTAGGCAGTCAGAACAGTAATCGCTGCAATAACAATTACTACGTAGAACACCACCTTGGAACACAGTAAGTCATGGCTCTTGGCATGAGGTTGCAAAGGCATAGCACCAGTATTGTCCATTAGGAGAGTGGAGACGGGAATGGGATATGTATGTTTCCCTGAGAATGCAAGCAAAGATGTGTAGATGCTTGGGGATAGGTTTAACGGCAGACTTGGCAGTGTTATGTTAATGGTTGGACTATGACCTTAAGGGTCTTTTCCAACCTTAAAGATTCTATGACTATCACTTAATCTGCATTTTTTGCTGCCCATTTTTATCTCCATGTGAAAGACTTCCACTTTGGAAGGAGCTCAGGTCTGTTCAAATAAAATTTCTGCACATACATGTTTCAAGTAAAAACAGGTAAGATGCTATCCTTCATTATACAACATGTTTACAAATGTGTCTCAATGGAGTTTTCATTAGAGCTTACCTTCAGGAAAACAACAGGATGATCCTTCAGGAGGGGCAGGACAGTAAAATAATATGAACCCTACAGTGCTCTCTATTCATAGTACAAAGGCATTTTTGTCCTCCAGCAGAATATCAGCATGGTAAATGTGGATATGAAAGAGTCAATACAAACGTAGGAGTTCCTCAGTCTTGAAACTGTCAGTGTTCACAAGGACTTGTAGGGCAATATTACTTGACAGAATATCTGTTTAATCTGCTTTGGCAAAGTGTGGCATATAAATGCCCAAACACAAGAAAAAATCCTGAATCTCTGAGTAAACTCTCTGTTCAAAAACTTTTCTGGTTCAAGATAGTATCTACCAAAAAACTGGGGAACAAAATCAAGTGCTATTTCAAAGGCTGATTGATTCCTTATCTCGAAGCAAAGCTGATCCCTCCTCAATTTTTTTCTCTGTACCAGACCAGGAGCAGAATGCCATCAGTTTTATTCTGATATATCTCTGTAGAGTTAATCATTATAAGAGGCATTTCATACTGGGTATGAAATGTAAACAAATGTACACAAGCAATTTCATATATCATTATCAGATGTTCGAGACTCCATTCTCTTTCACTTGGACACCTTTCTATGTTCACATTTAGATAGATGAACTCAACTCTATTTTGCTGGAAATCATGGATCTTGCAGCAAATAGAAGTGACTTGTTTTCATCAACCAGAAACTTTGTGATTACTTTGCTATCTAAATAATCTTATTATTTCGTTATTTAAGTAATCCAGATCTATGGATTCTGGACCTGTGTTTTGCAACTGGCAGAATCCCATGGGTTTGAAAAACTAGGTCTAATCAGACTAGTCTGTCTCAAAATACGCAAACTCTTCAGACAAACCCCACAAACAAGAACCAGTATTTTCTCTTTCCAGTCTTCTGTATGGTCCTAATGGAGCTGCAAAGGAGCAGGAAGGGCAAAGTACAAGGCACCAGTCATGTAGGAAAGAAGCTGAGTGTTCTGCAACACACACAATGCCTGGAGACAACTGCCCTCAAACTGGTACTTCCAAACACAGAGGTCAATCACCAATTCTCTAAAAAATGAAGGTGTTCCTGGATTTCTTAAACCAGTTTTAGATCTTTCTACCCTGATGAGCAACATATAGAGAGGCAGGATATCCTGCACTTTAAAGACAAATTTGTTTTTCTTTCTGATATAGACATAACTGAATCCTTTCCAATGTATTTATGCAAACTGTAGCAAATGTCTGTCCACAGTAGAAAACAACCGTTTCCTCAAGACAATATAAAAACTCAACTCTCCCTGGTTGTCCAGACCAAAGCACATAATCTTTCTGTCATGGCAGAGATGATTCACCAGAAAAGCAAAAATCACCACACTTGAGCATGACAGTTTTATTTAACACAGCAGTTACAGGTCAACTGTCCTCAGAAGTGAACTGAAACTTTTAGGGTACACAGTTCCAAACAGTCTGATCTATTCTTTTGGTACTTCTCTGACCACACAGTAAATCATTCCAAATTCCTAAACCAGGAAAATAAGAACGTGATCACAGAAGAGCTGTTTATTGGGTTGTCAAGCTGACTTTGTCTACTATGCAAACTCCCATGAGAACCAAGCGTAACCAAAGGACACAGGCCTGGAAACTCAGCAAGAAAGGAAGAGGCAATTGTCTCAGCTGTCACGCGAAACTACATCCTTACTGAACTTCTAGCATTAAGAAAATTGCACTAGAAGATCCTTGCATTTGGATCCAAGCATTTTCACACTAGACTTAGTTCCTGTTCTGCTGCACATAATCAGATTTGTCTCAGCCTAGAGGAGTTATTACACTTTAGGGTTTCATGCACTACAGAATACTGTAGATTTGCTCTGGTCAAGAAATTACTAAGAAGACACGCATTTCTACTTTGCAGTTATGTTTCTAAAGTTATTAAATGACAGATGGAGTTAAAGATGCCTATTGACTTGGTACTAACAGTACTAAACCGTTAACACTCCCAACCCCCTTTAGCAGTACAAAGGCAGGAAACTGCAGAGTTTAAGGTTCAGGGAGCACTGCTCACTGCAGTGGAAAATGACTGCTTTCATCACTGAATGTAAAAACAACTTCTCTCTAAACATTTGAAAGGAAGATCCAATACACAAATGAGGGATACAAACAGTAGTTGGTTCATACCTGCAGCTATGCACCTCCCTCTAGCCGTTCCAGTCTTCAGTCTAAAAGATAAGGAAAAAACAGGTATTGAGAACTCCAGAGTTAAAAATCGGACAGCAACAATCACTACAACATGAACTCCATCTTATAAAGCACTGAGGACTGTGAAAGTAAAGCATATTTCTAAAAACAGAAGTCATCATGAGGTGCTGACTACCCTCATTAGACTCAAACCTGAAGTTGCATATTTCAAGAATACAGAGTAGATTAGAGGGGGCAAAAGAGAGGACTGCAATGCAACACGGCTGAAAACAGAAGTCTTAAAACTCCCTAATAATATTCAGTGGACTTATCCTACCTGTCTGGCTTTTTGACTGTCACAACAGAAGCAGTTACCAACAGCAGTACCCACAGTCCTAAACTCCTGTATCACATTATTTTGACAGCTGCAGCCTTAACAGATGACCATGAACCTGCAAGGTGGGAACTCTAATGTAAGACTGCATAAATGGAAATGCACCGAATCAGGGAACACAAAGACCACAAAGAATTAACAACTCAAGATAAAAATGTGATTTCTACATCTTAAGCAAATCATCAACCAGAAACCATACAAATTTTCTGTACTAGCACCTGAGTAAGGGATGCTACTCCATGATTCACAGCTCTCTTTTTGCAAACTCAGTAATTGACCCACAACTACAAACTTTGGATTTTTTTAGTTGTGGAATGGCTTTCCTTTTTTTTTTGTAAATTACACAAAGCTATGTGTGCTCCCACATTTTTGCTACTTTGCAGGTCCCTTTATAACCTTTGTTCTATATTTTTTAATAAATGAGAATAAGTGATCCATATCCTCTTCTAACTTGCCTTGTAATATACTTGTCTCATGTAATATACACGTCGTCATGTCTCATGCCTTCTTTTCCAAAGGGAGATCTCAAAAATTTTCAATTGCTATTTTGTAGTAATTTTCAATTGTTCTATTTGTTCAACTGATTTATTAAAGTACCATAGCCTCTAAAGCAAAAAAGAATCCTAAACACAGGAACAAAATTAATTTTCTTATAATAGTTGTTAAGAACAATAAAAATCCATCATGAATCCTGACAAACTCAGTTATTTGAAATGTGCATTTTCAAAATTATGAATTTATATTTTCTAGAATATTACTGAAAACTGACTATTGTTCAGGGAACACTTTACATATTTATTTTTGTTCTGTTTCACAACAGCATTCTGAATTATGAAGCTCCAACTAGTGAGTCAGGCAAATACATTACCTGAGGACACCTCCTTCCACCTCACCTACATTCCTTTGCTTTCTGAAGTTTAATTACAAGATATTTGTTTATGGTCAAAAAAATGGTCTCAGATTCCTCCTAACAGACCTGCCTTCAAAACATACAGTTTTTTTCTTCTGTTTCTTTTAAACCAAATTTTTGCCAGATATTTAAACCCTATGGAAATTGTCATATATGCTAAGTTTTGCTCCTTTGATAATCAGCTTCCAGAAAAAATGAAATACAGAATTTATTTATCTTGTAAATGCTTAAGAATATCTATAAAAACATCTTTTTTATGTTAAAAAGAAAATATTCCCTTCACACATGTAGCCATTAATTCACTCTAATGAATTAATTTAAAACTTCAAAGGAACCAAAAGTGCAGCTAACATAGCCAGAGGAGCCCATAACTCTTGGACACCTTTGGGAAAAAAATATACACCTCATTGAATCAAAGGCAAAATCCAAGACAATAAAAACTTCAAAAAACAAGCAGCAAATCTGACAACCACCTGCAGAAAGCCTGGGAGAATGTTCTTAAATCATAAATTGTTCTATAATGGTTCATTTAATTGCATGCAGAACATAAATACACAATCATTTATCCAAGTTTATACATGAGACAAACTTGAATCAAAGACCAAAGAATCTGACAACTGTGTTTTTTCTCAGAAGAAACTGGGACTTGCATACGCCAGATCAAGGTATACAATGTGTGCAACCAGTGCGACACAGCCATTTCTGTAATTAACTGACGTGGCAGAAAGCTCTTGTGCAAATTAGATCCTCCCCAGCCCAGCATTAGATGCTGACAGCCAACTGTTTTCATAGTTGCATGAGTGTAGGCTCTTAGTGGGATCAGCAAAACACTTAACAGGCATAAATTGAGACATCACAGCTTTTGCTAAGATTTTTCCTGAAGTTGCCCCCTGACTGAAGTGCCGCATCCGAGCACAGATGTCACTTTCAACTCCCTTACCAAGCTGGGAGGAACTGGGACACCACCTGACAACTCCATGTAGAAAAACAAAAGGTTTAACACTTCGATTTAATACTTAGCCCTGGCAGATCTAAGAGTGACAAAATATACTCTCACTTGTAACTTCTGATATGCAATATAATATAAATAGAATTACAGCTGGTAATGAAAACAAGTGGCTCTAGCCACTAAGTACTAGACAGTGGATATGAGCCCAATAAATCTAGGGATGTTGCTTCGATACTACTTTTGATACAAAACTTCAGTCTCACCAGCACCCAGGACTATCTAAGAGAATATCAGATCATTTAATGGATTCTGATCAATGACATCACTATCACAGTTACCACTTGTCTAGACTAGTTTGTTCTCATTTCTCATTGCACTTTCCAGGAACTAATGTTTATGGGATGTCCAGGTTACCAATGGCAATTAAAGAGGCTAACAGACCACACAGTTCAACCTCAGATACATCCTGGCGTCAACAGTCTCTCACATAAATCAGCATTCAGTCTGGGCTCACTGCAGATTTACGTATTTTTAAGTACCAATATGACCAATAAAAAAAATTTGAAAATATAAAAAGAACTATTTCTTTGAAGGAAGTAAAGGAGGGACATAACAATTCATCGCAGAGTGACGGAGCAAGTGCACTAGTCAGAGTATGAACAGAGAGGCCCATACAAATCAGATAAGTTTCAATTACTATACAGCTTAGGCCACAACCCACAGAAAGTGTCACTTTCTAGTAACTCTTACTTACGAGGAAGCAAGACAACAGAGATAAGTGAGGAGAAACTCTTGCAGTATAAAAACCTCACCACGGAAGCAGCCCTACTTTCTTATCGGAGAAATGCCCTTCTACTGCAATCTTTACACCACCCAAACCTCCCAGCACCAGGAGCCACGTGTTCACTGCGAGGCCACAGCTCCCAATTACTTCATTGCCTGCTCACTTCATTTTTGCAGACAGAGCTGTTGAGTACTGTTTTCCCCAGTGCTGCCAGCACAAATACTATCAGGCATACAGGTTAGCAGGCAATCTGTACAGTTAGCAAGTAGACCGGTTGAATTACTCACAACAGTATGTTCCACTATAAGAATGTAAGTTTTTTTTAATGTAAGAACAGATTGAAGAATAGAAGAGGTGCACATTTTGGGACTACTGCAGATTAAGACAAAAAGAAAAGAGAGGAAAACATTTAAAATGCTATGTTTCAAGTTCCTCTAACCGGGACATCATAAAATACTTAACATTTGGCACGCTGCCCATATTTGCAATGTCTGTTCCATGCCCAGTCAGCAATTACAGCCCAAACGTTCCCAAGACCGATCATTAAGCCTTACAACCCATAATGAGAGGGTCAAGAGACACACTTTAAGAATGCAAAACAATCCTGTGATCTACTGTTGAAAACATGAGACTGGAACTTAGAAGGTATCAGTTATATTATTAACTATGGGTTAAATAGCATTTGACAAGTCACTTTTTGGTACTAAAGAGTTTCCATTTGTACAATATTATAATCTTTTTTATTTTGTGAAAAAGTATTTTGAGAACTAGTGACAGAGTGTATTGAATAAGAAAATATCATCACGCTGTTACAGTAGTTGCATCTCAGTTGAAAACCTAGTAAACAAATGTCCATAAAACATCTGTCTGTTAATAAAACCCAAAGAATCTCACCAACAAAAGATTTAAGCTTGCTATCTCCATCCAGATTATGGCATTAAGGGACTTTCAAAATATATCACGAGTTACAAATACAAAACAAAAGCAATATATCATCTACTTTTTGAATGAAGATTCAAAATACTTAGAAAACATGCATTCATGTTTTGCTGCTGTACACACCGCAGCACGACCTATCAAATGTAGCAGTTTTATATCTTCTTTTGAGTAGAAGATTGAGGTTTAGTGAACAGAAACAATATTTTCAGTTTAACCACTGAACCTACTCCTTAACCTAGTAGGAACCTACTTCCTACCTAGAAGCAATTGAACTTTAGCTGAACTTTAACAACCTCATCCATCTCAGCCACAAGACTAATACTTTCACTTACCTATCATTAAAAGTAAAGTAAAAAAGTCTTGATGGGAAAATCATCCCTGTGCAATATTTAGACAGACACAGTTTGCATAGCTCTGTGTTAAAAATTCAAGGTACTTACGTACCTTTCTTCTGATTGTACAAAAGGGAATAGATTCAAATGCAGAAAAAAAAAGATCCTCAAATGCAATCACTATTCTGTATTATCACACCTGAAATACTAAAAGAGGACACAGTGCACATGGCCGTTTCCAGCATTTACTGCCAGTTTCAGAAGAAAATAATTTTGAGGTGCCCCAGTTTTGAAGGATCAGAATTAATCTGGATGCAAAATTCTGAGTAGGCCTGAAATTCTGTATTTGCAAAATGTTTATGTATAATCATTTATATTTTATTTCAAAGAAGCACAACTAAGAAAGACTGATTTACCTTAAGCTTGTATGTGCGTCTTGCTTGGCTTATATTAGACAAATACTTGCCATGAACTCTACCGTGCAGAATCTGCCATTGCCACGCCTGCAAACCAAAGAGTAAAAATATGCTCAATTATTTTTATCTTTATTTTGTAACAGGTACATGGTCAAACCCTTTGCAGAAGTAAATGGACACAAGTCTCAAATTACACTCATTTACATCTGCAAAGAATTGAAGTCACTGCTCTATTATAACAAATGAATACTGATTCAAATCACTTTCAACAACAGACAGTTTTCATTAACATTTAAAGAGATTTAATATTGGTGTGTAGACCTGAAGCTTTAAAAAGTATTTCACGCTATTTCTTTTTCTTCAGAGGTAAATGCTGGCATTTCTGTGGGAAAATCAACTTGGCAATGTCCCGACTTTTATTAAAAAATTTAATAAAATCTAACCATTTCACTGTAAAGCAGTTCTTACTGAGCTTCTACTCCAGCTCTGAAGGTTTCCAATTTGTCATCATTTGTAGCAGCATTTGTATATGCTTCAATTTCTTTTTTTGCAACATTTACTACCCTTTTCATTATCTTTATATAGTACCTAAAGCACACAAACAACTGTAAATAATACAGAAAAAACAAAAAAATCTGCATTAATTTACAATCTCCTGAAAACACATGAATGCATAAACACATGCAGCACCTTGAAGCATTATTTTTGTCTGACTACCATTCACAAATGTGATGTCACATTTTAAATTAACTTTTCCCTGTCTGAAGCAGCTTTCATTCTTAGTTATGAACATTTAATAGAATGTTTTTCCTACTGGTATCAGCAGCCTTTTAATCCACAAACTACCCTCATGGCCCATTCTGTGACCCTGAAACACCCTCTCCAGGCTGCTTCTCTCCGGTGATTGATGCTCACTGACTCTCATGCCAGCACAGCTTGGCTTGTTCCTTTCTCTTCCCAAGGCCTCAGAAACCCTCCCTGCTGGATCCGCAACCTGATCTTGGACTGAGGGGAGAAGGATAAAGAGTGGCAATGCACTTTGCCAAGAACCAGAGGCAGTACTTGCTTGAAGTCTTACGCACGTATCTTCAGATGTTCTTCACTTACACACTTATCCATCAATTCTTTCCATTCACTTTTCCTGGAAGGCTCAGTATAACATCAGCTGGTTTCCACTGCTAGCAGAAGGAGACTCCAGAAACTTTATGGTAAAAATGAGTGCTATTAATACAGTTTTGGCTGCATGAGGAGTCAAAACAGATATAAAATGCTCACGTATCTTGCTGGATTCTCATGGTTGTTATACTTTGTACCTAAATTCTGGAGGTATCTTAGATTGTCACGTATAAGGTTTTGATTCAGGGAGAGTATATGTGGCACATTATTTTCTCTCTGTCCTCACATCAGAAAAGCTCACTGATTTCTTCCCAGATGAACAGCAAGCTTCTCTGTACAGCAAGCTTCTCTGTACAGCAGTATCAAACAGTGTGTATCAAATACTGCCTTCATAAAGAAGTATGTTAAGACAACATTTAGTACTTCCCAGCAGAGAACCAAACTACATGTGCCACAGCAGGTAACACACAATTCTTACTTAAGTGTTTTGGGCTTATATTACAGAGAGGACTGGCTACAGCTCTCCAGAAACATTTTATAGAAATGAGGAGGAAATACAAATAGATCAAGATATTCGTACTGTAGATTCAATTTAAGCTGATGCTCTTGCCAAAAGAATAGTGCACAACTCTTTCCTCATGCACAACTCTTTCCTCACCAGCTATCCATCCCCACCTCTGTATAACAAGCCTGAGAAAGGAAACGGGCAAGGTGTGATTAAGACTACCAACAACAACATGAATATAAGTTTTAATCCAAGCATGCTCCCAGATTCAATTCGCTGCACAACCACACATAGTCTTGGTGGCACAAAGGAAATGAAAAACACAAAGATGGCATGAGACTTTCAGAGCAATACTGGCAGATGCTCATTTAAATTACTTACGGAACTAGATAATCAGATTTAGGTGCTGAATTTCACATCATTAATTCTCTACTGATTAATTCTTTCTAAAGGCCTCAAGTGACAAAGAAGGCTTCCACTGTTTCTGTTAAAAAACCATTATACTTCTAAGAAGCACATACATGCTCTTCCATATAATCACCTTTACTGTCCCAATTCTTTGTCAGTGGACTGCATCCGATATTTAAACTATCCTTGATTAAACTATATGATTCAGCTTTTTAAAATCACAGGTAAATATTTTTTAACTTTCATTTATTCTTCTTGGAGTTTGATACCTGTAATTGCTTTCCAACAGCAGTTATAAGTTTCATTAATTTCAAATGAACACTGGACTTAATTCCAAATTCCCATAATCTTCCCACATTTCCAGTCTTAACTTTATTATTCAACTGCATGATTATGACCTTAAAAAAACAGAATTATTTTTGTAAAAAATAAAATAGGGCAAGAAGAAAATAAAAAATTACCCCACCTGTGGAATTTCAGTACCTTCAAAGGACATCAGACAGAAGTTAATTTTTTATTTGTCTCTAATCCTGATTAAATCTTTTCTGCAAACAGGGTAACACAGCCAATCTAGAATGGATTACCCAAACTCAAAGTATATTTGGCAAATAAGATTTTCTGTCTTGACAGCTTATCCTAGGTCTGAACAATGTCACTTTCTTATATATTGCCTTTAGGAAGATTCTTACAAAATGGTAAGATTTAAATTCCCTAGCGCCATCCTATAGCCTATCTTTCATCTACTCAATGCCCTAGGTGCACATATGTTTATTCAGTGTTCTACCCATTTATCATGGCATCTTTCACAGAATGGACACTATTTTTTAAACATGCAATGGTGCACTTCCAAGAGGCCTTTGTAACTGCCTAATCATATTGCTGCTACAAGGCTACAAAAAAAAAAAAAAAAAAAAAAGGTAAGTATGCTACCAAAAAGCACTTCAAAGTAGAGGAATTACAAAACCCCAACCACTGGCATCGAACAGTACCAAGAATTACCTTTCACTGGTTAACTCATACAAATGAAAAGACATCAACTAAGGAGTCAGGAAGTGGAAAAGCAGGAAGAAAAACAGGCAGCGGGCCGAATTCTGGCAGAGGATGCCAGAATTAGGAAAAATGTCAAGACACTTAAGGTAACAAGCTTAGCATCCCAGAAGCTGCGTATTCTTAGGTTTTCCAGATGAACATGGAACAATTATTGCAGTGTGTCCCCATTAAAGAAAGAAGGATCAGAAAACAGCCACACAACAAAGTTGCTTGAGTTCAAGCAGTTCAAGAAGATGACCCTCTGTCACAGGTCCCTGCCTGCAGACATCAGTGCGATTCAGATATTGCCAGGAAGCTGAGAGCCACCAATTTGCCATTAAAATTTGCTTCTTCTAAATTCAAGACACACAGCTTTCTCAGGAGGAAATACACTGAAGACACTGCAGTGGTAGGAAAGAAAAATAATTCAGACTGAGTTTATGGAATATGGTCCTCAAGAATGATTTTAGCAAGATGCTGACTTCCATTTCACAACTGAAACGTTTTCCTTGCTCAAATTCCATAACCAAAAGGTCTGATGCCTATTTGCATAGATATTCAAAGGGCAGGAGAATTTATAAGTGGACAGTATTCCCAAAAAACTATTTCTCCCTTTCCCTCTTTCTCCCACTCAAAAAAATTATTGCCAACGTTAATGGTATATCCAGTTGCTGCCACAATTTCGAGCACCTTTCTGCTACTCAAAGAACAGTTTACTACAGCAGCTAACAGACTTCTGTACTATTTGTTCACCTGATCTACTACTTCAAAAAGCAATTGTGAGTAGTCATCATCCCAATGCATGCAGGGCCTTAATACAAAGTTTACACAAGCACGCAGTCAGGAAAGTCTCAGCTACAAGTTTCCAGTTCTTCCTAACAAGGTATTTCCCCCAAACCCCATCCCTCAATACCAACTCCTGATTTCCAACTAGGCAGGGCAGGGTCTACCTCCTCATTAATCCCCATTGCCCATAACAAGCAAAGACACCACTCAGATCTTCCGGGACAGGATCTAGCTTTCATTAATCTTCAGGGCAGACAGTGACAACAGACCTTTTATGGAAAAATACAGGCCCTGGTTAATCACACCCCAAAGCAGGAAGGGAGATTAAAATCCTCATCCCAGAATACAGCAGCTCTTTTGGAGGTTAAATCTGTCTGTATCTTTCTGATGCCACTGCCACTCACTACACACATACTGTCCCTGCAAGACAACTGCCTTCCCTCCTCTGCTCCCTGTCCCTAGACTCCCAAATTTGAATGAACTGCATTTTACAAAAAAACAACATCTACAAACAGATCACCTTTCACTTGGAACTCCAGTCCTCCCCAGAGACGCAGACAGACAGACAGACGGATGTAACAGAGACTGTAAGCCCTGGCTCTCAATTCTGCTCAGCAAATGCCCACCAGGCCAGCCCCACTGCCTAGTTATCCAGTGTGCTGCTGCTGCTGCTGGACAAATATAGAAAGCAGAAAGTGGAACAACCGTTTCAGCAGAAGAGATTCTGCTCAGCTCTGTGAGAGGGAGGAGCAGGAGCTGAACCAGCCGAACTGCTTTACCCATACATGGTCTCTGAAAGAGACCATTGCTAAGACAAGTTCCTTCACACACGCACAGCCTCATTCACTGTCACACCGTGCAAGAAGGAAAAGAATTAAAGTGTACAAATTTAAAGGAGTTACTGCTTAGAAATGAGTTCCAAGTACGTTTTGCTTTATTCACCAACAGAATCTGAGCAGCAACTCCAAAACAAGACAAAAATCTCTGTTCCAGGGAATCCCCACATCCACCAGCATTTCAAGAACTACTGAACTGGCAAGGTCTTCCTTGCTGCTTTTGGACACACATTCACATATTAAGTTCTTGGTTTGACCTTCTCCCCCCGCAGCCCAAACTGAATTATAGCCATCTTTTTAAACCTTTCTCCCTTCTTAAGTATTGTCCTAAACCAGCAACCATGACCTTTCTCATTGGCTGATGCTAATTACTATGGTGATCTGCCATACCATGTCTGCTTCCCAGT